TATATATATATATATATATATATATATATATATATATATGTATATATATACATATGTATATATATGCATACATATATGTATATATATATATATATATATATATATATATATATATATACTATACATAGTCAGATAGTTTTGAGCAAGCACGCTTGCTTGCCTTTGTTTTAAAAAGCACGCCCGGTGCTGCAGTCTCTGTAGGCCGTGTGGCGTCGGCCCCGCGGCTTACACTTGGTCGCCAGCGGGCAGACGGAGACGACCACGTGTCGAAAAGAAACATCGTTCAACACGCGCCCGGGTGGCTGGTTGAATACCACATACTGAAGGAACGCAGGTGGGCGCCTCCATATGGCGGCCGCCTCGTAGAATGCTCCGTCTATTTGTGTATTTTTGGGTGGCTTCGTGGCTGCGCTCGACCAGCAGTTGTTTAATTACGGTTTTTAGGCGCGCCGACTGCATAGGTCATTTTGCGCCCACAACGTTGTCATTTAGCTACGAGGTGAATATATAAAGCAAATCCGATTTCTGCAAGGAATGAAAACAGTCGGCCATCTTCAAGAAGTTGTCAGTGATTGCCAAGAATGTCACTTAGCGTAAGGGAGGTAGCATTTCGTCCAAAGTAAAGCGAGCGCTCCCGGGCAAAATATGGACAAGCATTACTACGTGGTGCACGGTGAGAAACGCAGAACAACGAGGGCATCGGGGTCTCTCACCACCACACAACAAATACCGGTGAGTTTTGTACGTGTGGCCAATACACAGCCTGCAAAGCACGACTTCTTCTCGACTCGAATCGCGGAAGCTGGAAGACCACAGGCCCAATTCGGCTTTGATATATTTCAATTTGCTATTTGTCTGATTATTCTAACAGAGCTGCCACTTGTGTTGCAATAAAGGTAAAATGGCTGCATAAAAATTTCAAGCCGGGGGAGGCAATCTGCGCGTACATGGTGCATGTGATGCGCGCTTTACAGCTGCGTCAGCGAGCTCATATTCGACGATACCGACATGATTAGGAATCGAACACAGCGTCACCTTCTTTCCAACTCGGTCCAATGCAATGAGACGTATCAAGATGTCCTGTAAAAGAGGGCATGATGGGTTGAAAGTCCTCAAGGCCAAGAGGCCGCTCAAAGAATCTGGTAAAACCAGGTGCAAGGAGTCATTCCCAACGTCGATAAAGCAAAGCGCCTTGATTATAGCTACCAGTTCGGAGGTGAATACCGACGCGTGCCTTGGCAGTGTGAATGATCGAGTGACGGTTCCACTTACAAATGCACAGCCGACACCGTCTGAAGTTTTGGATCGGCTTGTATAAGTTATTGTGTGGCCCTCGTACGACGCCACGTGCTCTAGTCCCATGGAACAGAATAAGTCAGGTGTCAGGGTATGTTCCCTTGTTTCAGCCAGCGAATTGTCTACTCTGGGCGAATCAGAAACCATGGAGGTGGCATATGCTGCACCGGCATCACGCTGTAAAGAGGAATGCCACTGGCATCAAGCAGAGGCCTTTTCCTAGCGCAAAAAGGGGCGGAATGTTGCTCCGGACCACCATGAAACACAGCCGTTGTTCGACGCGAGAAAACTGCATCATATGTCGGGTGAGAAGGAACTGCCGCAGCTTCAGAGCATATTTCATGCCAAACATTTCTCGCCCAGCCGACAGTGGCGGCGTTGGCCTCAACAGGAAGGCCTGCGACAGGTGACGTTCGAAACGCTCCTGTGATGATGTGGAGCGTTGTGTGGTGGATAGTGTCCCAAGGACTCTTGGATATGACAGCGCAAGTGAGTCAAGTCATCGCCTTGCAGTTCCAGAACTGACTGATGCAACTGGCAGGTGGTAAGACGCTGAAGACGACTTTTTCTTAGGGAAATATCGGACAGCATTTCGGAGGCCAGGCATAAGTCGGGCTCCGATGGAATGATTGGAAGGCAGTCAGTGAGCTCTTTTCCAGGAGGTTGAGATGTCCTTCAGCGCTTTTGTCGTCCTAGAGACTTTTGATGATTCTAGGGAACTATGTCCTTAGACATCTGAAGGTTTATATAATTCTGGAGATATGTATTGCCTAGAAAATAGCCTTGTTACAGGATCCAGGTGATCCTGCTTACCAACTAGGACCGTCATTTTCCTCTCATTCTGTATAGCTTGAAAGACGGTGCCCTTCTCTGCAGATCCCGAATCGTAAACCTGTAACCGACCAACTAGGAGCTACCGAAGAAATTTCACACTAGAGCCTGCAGTTCAGCACTTCGTCCCTCAAATGATCAAGATATCTTTGTGCAATCTTCGTTATTTCCGGGCCTCTGACGATTGGGGAAATGGTGACGAGTTAGGATGGCGGGAGGGCAGGTGGGGGGGGGGGGGGAGAAGGCAGCTGATCTTGAAGCTTTCTAGAACTTTGCAG